GTGCTCGTGACCCGACGAAAGAGAAGGACGATGTGATCATGTCTTCTATTAGGTTGTCAAATATCTCCCTTCCGCCGTTTTGCCTTTTGAATTTCGCGACTATGTATAAAGCGCTCGTATCTGGCAATACTATACATCTTTGAAAAGTCTTGACGTAACCTACAAAACGACGCTATGCATGATTAGTTTGGATATTGCGTCCAGCAATTATATACCCGTAAACATGGAGTTCACTAACGCCGAAATTCACGATATTTTAGAGTTTTCTTTCGTTAAAAGCAAATCCGCTAGAGAAACGTTCCGTGAGATTAATGGTGTTTTGAGGGATGGTACTCTATCACTTCGAATTACGGAGGAATGGTTTCGACGATTCAGAGCGGTTGGAAACGACACCATGGATAAGCCAGCCGGCGGAACACCTGTGACGACGAATACCGATCAAATCATGGAAAACATACTGAAACGGAACGAACTCGACCCACTTTTGAAGCGGATGGTGACTGGCGACGAAAAATTAATCACATACGACAATATCAAGAGAAAACGGTCGTGGTCGAAGGCCGAAGAATCGTCCCAAACAGTGGCCAAGCCGGAATTGACGGCCAAGAAAGTTTTGCTGAGTGTTGGTGGGATTGAAAGGGAATCGTTCACAATGAGCTGATATGACCAGACGCTTAATTCCGAGTTCTTCGCAAATAAGGAGGGCAGCTTCTACGTGAGGAGTTTTAAGAAGTTACCGTCTAGATGGAAACATATTATCAAGCGAAACGGCGCATATTTGAACTAAATTCGATCACAGTAACACTTTTTATAAAGCATTGAATAAAGAGCAAAAAAGTGGGAGGGAGATATTTGACAATCTAAAGCTGCCTCCGGCACGATGCCAAAAACGAGCTTGGCGGCTTCAATTTCAGGGTAGGCAAAGAAAGGATCTGTGGCACAATGGTCGGTAAACTCAGCCTCCACGATGAAACATTCCAAAATTGGTTGAGGCTGATCGACTTCGCCGGGACCGGAAATATGGTTATCTGTAATACTAGATTCCACCATAGAAAAATCCGTCAAGCTATCTGACTATCTGCGGATCTAAAAGCCCACTAACTAGATCAATCATGATGCGATAGACGATAGATAAATGCCTACGCTTCGCTGTCCTAACTTCTATTCGATATTCCAAGATACACATCGGCCTCTATGCAGCAAAAAACACACGTTAAGAAACACAGGGAAGATTTGACGTCGAGAAGCTGGAATCATAACAGACAGCCAAATGAGTTTTCCATACCGCATTCGATGGAACGATGAACTGTTGGAGTTATACTGACAGAGTTCAGCGAATTAAGAAACATCGGAAAACACTCCAGCTCTGAAGGTATTTGACGCAGTATCCGCCGGGGGAAGAAGAGAAAGACCTCCAATCGTTTGGAGAGATGAGGTGGAGAAGGACCTGACTGCACTTGTTAATTTGAATTGGTGCCAAATTGCGACTGGTACGCTGTTGTTATAACCGCGTAGCGGTATCTCCGCCAGTAAAGAAGAAAAAAAAAATGATACATTAAGGATTTAGAACTGTAAACTGTAAATACTTCGACATATGATTAAGTAAGAATAACATTACCATTAATGATAGCATAGGAGGTGTGTTCAAAAAGTATCGCGAATTTTGAATTTTTGCGGGTTACGTATATTCGAATTCCGAACTTTTGAATGGTCATTTAATTGTGGACAGCTGCTTTGCTCGCACATGTTTTGGATCGTCTCGATTTTTACCTATTAAAAAAAATGGATAAAAGAACCTGTATAAAATTTTGTGTGAAAAACCGAATTCCGAATGTTGACTGTGGCATACGGAGAAGCTACCTTG